ATAAAAGGTATTGTGTAGCATATGCTGTGTAGCCTGTGAAGAGACTGAGTGGAAGTGATCCAGTGTACTGAGCAAAAGACCCTGGTATACTGTGCTTTACTCTGGAGTCTTTCCAGACTTGTTTGAAAGTCAGGATAACCAGCACTGCCAGTGATATACTCGTACAACATTTTAAAAATGACAGATTCCACAAAGGGTAAAACTTGCTCTATGGCATCTAGAATGTGAACTTGAGTTACATTGTTTCTTAGGATAGAATTCTTTTGTAAAATTAGCCATTGTATCTAATGGGAATTTTAATTTTAGTGTTTGATAGGGTTAATGTCAGTCTTTTAGAGAATAAGTGGGGAAATAATATTTTATCAGAAAGCTTTCAGAAATGTGGCAAGACTCCCGCACGCAGTCTTGAGGGTCTTTACCGTGTTACACCCTCTCGGATATTCACTAAAATAGAAAGAATGTTTCATGCAAGTGTTAGTCTGAGTGTCTTTTTGATATCTGGCAGATGAAAGTCCTTCTGGGAGAGATTGTTCTTCAATACAGTTCACAGTGATGGAACATCCTTTCATGTCTTTATCAGCATTTCTGCTTGCCTAGTACATTTCCTCATATGCTAGGATGAAAACTGTCAAGTTGGATGATGCATATGTGAAGTATTTTATCAAATCATTCCAGGGAGTCAGTGCAGGCCCTTTGACAGCCAGCTGGGATGAGGCATGCCTACATTGAAATGTTTTAATTTTACTTCAGAAGGGCAGAGATGTTACCAGAGCAGTGGCTTCGAAACAGCATGGCATAAGGACGGTGGGAGGCCGTTGGGAGAGTTTACTTTGGTTCAGTTCCGCAGACGCTCAGCCACAGTTTTAGAGTCAGTTTCATAATTGTGTGGCGCTCTCCAGAGCCGCAGTCTGCCAAGTCACACAGAGTTGGTTTTCGTGTTCTTCCGAGCTTTGGAGCTATTCAGTTCCCTGTAAACCCCAGATGTGAAGGTGGAGGTATAGGAGAAGAGTGAGAAGTGCTATTAATAATTCATTTGAAAGGGGTTTCTGTGTAAGGTAATGTGCAGTAAACAAACAAGATAGTGTAGGATTGACTACGTTAAAAAATAGCTTTTATGGGTACAAAAAAATAGAATGAATAAGACCTACTATTTGATAGCACGACAGGGTGACTATAGTCAGTAATAACTTAATTGTACATTTTTAAATAGAGTGGTGTTGGATCGTTTGTAACTGAAAGGATAAATGCTTGAGGGGATGGACACCTCATTCTCCATGATGTGCTTATTTTACATTGCATGCCTGTATCCAAACATCTCATGTACCCCATAAATATATACATCTACTATGTACTCATAAAAATTAAAAATAAAAAAAATCTTTTGAGTGTTTTAGCTGAGAATAAATTTTTGCTTACTTTAATCGGATAATATTGAAAATTCAGGTGAAATATTAGAGAACACATAGCCTATATATTACTTGACAAAAAATATTTTTCAAAAAAATGTTTTAAAAACATCTAAATGGTAAGAGAAATTGGGAGAGCCTTCTTTTTCTTTGTTAGTATAATCCTCCTTGGTATTTGTACAACATTGAGTTTCCTAAATTAGTTGTTGAGGTCCCATGACTTTAGCAATATAACAGAATTGTAAACAGAAATACAGGAATTGCAAATTCAAGCTTATGGTTTTATATTTATATTTTTATATTTAGATTTTTCTCCCTCCCGCCAGGTGAGGTAGTGCATAGTATATGAAAGATTAATTCAAATGGCATTTTCAGTTGGCTTTTTCTAAGAAAGTCTCTAGTTATTTCCCCTGGGCTTCTCAGTTCTGTTAGCCTTTAAAGTTTAAAAAATGATCATAAAAGGAATTTTGAGAAACAAAGCTCAGAGTTTCTCAAAGCTGTTGGCGGGGGAAGGGAGGGTATTTTTTTATTCTTGGCTTAATGACATCAATATTTTATAAAGGTAAAATCATAGTATAAAATTTTGTGCCTTTTTAAAACTTAAAATTATAAGTTATCCATGTTTTGACATTTTCATAGTTATTTTGATTGCTTTTAATATATTGAAATTTTGAACTACAATTTATTGACATCCATGTATTATCAAATCCTGAGGTTGATTTTGATTTTTGGCATATTTGATGGTATAGCAGTGAACATTTTGTTGATTCAACTTTTGTTCTCAGTTATTTTTGTGGTGCTTGATACGTTTCATTAACTTTTTATTTTTCTTTGAGACGGAGTCTCGCTCTGTTGCCAGGCTGGAGTGCAATGGCGCAATCTCGGCTCACTGCAACTTCTGCCTCCTGGGTTCAAGTGATTCTCCTATCTCAGCCTCCCAAGTAGCTGGGATTACAGGTGCCCGCCACCACGCCTGCTAGTTTTTTGTATTTTTAGTAGAGACAGGGTTTTACCATAGTTGGCCAGGCTGGTCTCAAACTCCTGACCTCAAGTAATCTGCCTGCCTTGGCCTCGTAAAGTGCTGGGATTACAGATGTGAGCCAGTATGCCTGGCCTCCATTAACTTTTAAAATAAATTTGGTGTTTAAAATTGGAGACTATTTCTAAATTTACTAAACGGAGAACTGAGAATTATATGAAGCATGACTAACAATAACAAAAGTCATTCCTAGGTTAGTTAGCTTACCTAATTAACTAGCTTACTAACCTAGGAATAACTTTTGTTATTATTAGGTTCTGGTAGGCGATAATAATGATAGTTCCAGTGTGTATCGTTTATGCTGGAAAATAATATTTAAGAAAAAAATGATAGCTGCCCTCACTGAAAACCTGCCATTCTAGGTGCTATTATGTATCTTCTTGTCTTCTGGCATTGCAGGGAGTATTGATTAAATTGGTTAAAACAGCTTACAAAACCAGAATAGTACACTTGAGCCTAAATTAGCAAACTAAAAATAAATTTGGTTTCTTAGCCATAGCATTTGGTTTATTAAACTGTAGGGCAGACAACAAATTCTCAAACCACAGAGTACCATGACTTCGTTTTTTCTGACATTAACAGAACAGTATTGTTCATGCTGATGGTTCGATTTGTAAAGTAGCTTTTGCCCTGCTTGGCTTTTTTTTTTTTTTTTTTTTTTTTTGAGACAGAATTTTACTCTTGTTGCCCAGGCTGGAGTGCAGTGTTGCTATCTCAGTTTACTGCAACCTCCACTTCCAGGGTTCAGGCGATTCTCCTGCCTCAGCCTCCTGAGTAGCTGGGATTACAGGTGCCCACCACCACGCCCAGCTAATTTTTGTATTTTTAGTAGAGACGGGATTTCGCCATGTTGGTTGGGCTGGTCTTGAACTTCTGACCTCAGGGGATCCACCCACCTTGGCCTCCCAAAGTGCTGGGATTACAGGCGTGCCATTGCACCTGGCTCTGCTTGGCTTTTGGATGCCTGGTAATGATGTTCCTTAATTGCGGGTCAGTGAAGCCAAACTAATTGCTTCTTGGGCACATAGATTGCCTTTTTAATTTGCTGTATAATGTTGTCTCTACCAGAAATGCATAATATATTGTTATCTAAGTAAAACTCATTAAAATAATCTTACACACAACAGAATGCCTGATATTTTGTCCATAATCTTGCAAATAAAAGAAAACTGAATGGCATTACAGAGAGTTGTAATTTACAAGCACTCTTTTTTAAGTGCCTTTGTACCCATTTTGGAAGATAAACATAAAATGACTGCTATGATTTATATTAGTGTGATAGTTTTCTTTACCAAGGATTGTTTTGTTTTGTGCTTTTAGTGTGTTTTAAATGAGAATAATGATGTGGCCTTTTGAGACAGTCACTTATTTCAGACTGTACAGTTTACCCAGAGAGATTAGCATTTACCCAGTGACTTTGCATTTCATTAAAAAAAAAAAGAAACCTGTGTTGTCATTCTCAGTTCACAAATGTCCATTATAAGGGTTACCCTTAGAATTTGTAGAAACACTTGTTCTTAGATTGGTAAGATGGGTAATATTTATTTTCTTTCTGTTTACTTGGACTAACTAAAACGACAGCTCTGCGAAGGACTTTCCCTTGACTCTTTGATGATTAATTTTGTTCAGTTAACTAATATTTATTGAGCAGCTACTGAGTGCCAGAAACTGTTGGGGATACCAGTTTGTTTGTTTGTTTGTTTGTTTTTTCTCTTTGTGATAAATATTTGGCCCAGGAGAAAAATCTCTGAAATAAATTTCAGAGCTTTAGAAATGATTTTACATGGCTGGTGCGGTGGCTCACGCCTGTAATTGTAACACTTTGGGAGGCTAAGGCAGGTGGATCACTTGAGGTCAGGAGTTCGAGACTAGGCTGGTCAACATCGGGAAACCCCATCTGTACTAAAAATACAAAAAATTAGCCGGGTGTGGTGGCCCACGCCTGTAGTCCCGGCAACTCAGGAGGCTGAGGTGGGCAAATCGCTGGAACCTGGGAGGCAGAGGTTGCAGTGAGCCAAGATTGTGCCACTGCACTCCAACCTGGCGAGAGAATGAGACTCCGTCTCAAAATAATAATATAATAATAATAATAATAAAGCCAGGTGTGGTGGCTCATGCCTGTAATCCCAGCGCTTTGGGAGGCAGAGGCAGGTAGATCACTTGAGACCAGGAGTTCGTGACCAGCCTGGCCAACATGGTGAAACCCTGTTTGTACTAAAAGTACAAAAATTAGTCAGGCATGGTGGCACATGCCTGTAATCTCAGCTACTCGGGAGGCTGAGGCAGGAGAATCACTTAACTGGGGAAGAGGTTGCAGTGAGCCAAGATGACACCACTGCACGCCAGCCTGGGCGGCAGAGTGAGTCTCCATCTCAAAAAAAAAAAAAAAAACCAATAGAAATGATTTTACAAATAGAGTGATATCAAGGAGCTTCTACTAAAAAATTTAGTAAATGCTTATTAAACAATTTTTTTTTTCTAATTCAACCTTAAAAATGTCAAAACACCTATCGTTTAAAGGAAATTGCCCATTACCTGTTGGTCTTTTCTTGTAGGTTATTTCTTATGAGGGTCATGGATATCCCCTATCTAAACTTGGAAGGACCAGACTGTAAGTAAATTTTTATTTTCTTATTGCATCTGTGCATTTAAATGTGTGGTCTGGAAGGGATAACAGGAAAATATTACTAAAGAAAAAGCTTTCTTCACTTAAAATTGGGTAGTGATTTTGTGGTTGATATGAGTAGTATGCTTAAGTTAATGGGACTCTTGGGCATTCATTAGTCATCACTTCACTTATATTTTCCAGTTTATGCATGAATTGAATTTTAAAAACATACATATCTTCTCTATATATTTCATTTTCACGCAGAATTCTGATTTCATCATTTTTTATAAGTATTTATCATATATTTTTAAGATATGCTAGCTGTCAGTTATCTTGGTAAAATTTCTATTTTCCAATTACTTGAGTGTGTATATATTTGAATTTAGTAGGTTGATTTTTGTTTTGTTTTGTTTTTTTTATTTAAAAAACATGGAGGGTCTATGGGAGGTAATTGCTTTTTCTTTTCCTCTGCTTTTTTTCTGCTGTTTCATTTGTTCTTTTTTACCTTAATGTATGTAATTGGCAGGTAGAAGTGGGTGAACTATACTTGGTGATAATAATTGTTGCAATGATAGTTTGAGGACATACTGTTGTGTTGCCCTCCATGTTAGACTAATATTTTGGTCTGTCATTCTCACAAGAATTCTGATGCTAAATATCGCCATTCCCAGTTTATAGTCCAGGGTGGTTAGAGTGATTAGGTCTCTTGCTTAGGGCTGCACAGAAAAGGTCTAGGTTTGGGATTAGAAAACAAGATTATGACTCAGGATTGCCTTACTTAACAAATAGTCCATTTAATTTGGACAGTGCTTTTTTTTTTTTTTTTTTTTTTTTTTTTTTTTTAGCTAAGTATATTAAAATGGGAAAGTTAAATGTTTAGTGAAGTGAAACTTCATGAACAGAGCAGCCTTGTTTTTCTTCTAAATAATTTGCACAGTTGGGTATGGTGGTTCATGCCTGTAATTCCAGCACTTTTGGAGACCGAGGTGGGAGGATCACTTGAGGCCAGGAATTCGAGACCAGCCTGGGCAACATAGTGAGACCCCCATCTCTAGAAAAATAAAATTAAAGGATAAAAAAATTAGCCAGGCATGGTGGCATGCACCTGTAGCCTCAGCTGCCCAGGAGGTTGAGGTGGGAGGATAACTTGAGCCCAGGAGTTTGAGGCTACAATGAGCTATTACCGTGCCACTGCACTCTAGCCTGGATGACAGGGCAAACCCTGTCTCAAAAAAAAAAAAAAAAAAAAAAAAATATATATATATATATAAAATTTTAAAAATGAACATAATTTGCACAGGAACTTCATGAGAAGAGAAGATGTCTTTGCATAGGGTTCAGTTTGTTGTGGGTTCTGTAATGTATCAGAACCTAAGGTCTAGATTACCATGGCAGAATCCTACCAATCCTAGGCATACTTTCAGGAGTTGTTTGGTAATCATGAGGAATTCATAACAGTTCTGCATATTAGCTTAGACTTAATTTCATCAAAGAACCACTGGTTTACTTGATCACTTTTCACCCATCAACATTTCATCATAAATTTGTCTTACAGTGCAGCCTAAGCGTGATCATGTTCTGCATGTGACGTTCCCCAAAGAATGGAAAACCAGCGATCTTTACCAGCTTTTCAGTGCCTTTGGTAAGTCACAAGTTCAGATGTACCTTTTAGGGTTTTGCTATTCATTTGGTATAGGTGGTCAGAAGTAGAAAGACAGTTTTGGCCTGGGAATAAAAGAATGTTAATATTCAAGGTTTTAATTTCACTCTTTGAATTTTCTGGTTTAGGATACTGTTATCTTTGTGCTAATGTGATCTGAGAAACTTTTAATAGCACCTCACAATACAGAGCTATTAATTCATGGAAAGCAAAACACCATGATGATGACTGCCCTTACTACTGACTGGGGAAAATAACCTGTGGCTGAGCGTAAATAATTTTTAAGATTAAACTCAGAGGGCTTGTATGTTTCATAATGGGAGGGGAGGTCGTCTCTGCTTTAGATTAATCAAAGTGACAGATGTTTGGGTAGATCAGGAATTGTGATACGTGTGTGATGTAGGGCAGTCCTTCTCTTTCCTTTTTTACCAGGTCATGTGATTAGGTTCGTTCGAGCAGTCTCCTGATATGTGTTTATGAAAACCATTCTGATTGTAAACCCACAGCAATACCTCTCTTACTTTAACAAACGAAGCATTTAAGCTAGTCTCTGGAAATTCTTGGATAAAGTGAAGGCCACAAGACCTAAATATCCAGTAGTAAAAAAGTTTAGTAAATATTTATGTATCTTCTAGTGTGTAGCCATTTAAAAAATATTTGAAGAGTTTGTTAAAAGTAGTTAAAGTGCTTGTATTTTAACGTTTAGAGTAAAAAGCAGATACAAAGTAGGCCTCCCATATAACTAACATCATTTTTCATTTTTTTTTAATTAAATTTAATTTTTTATTTTTTTAAAAATAAAAATGGGGTCTTGCCATGTAGCCCAGGCTGGCCTTGAACTCTTGGGCTCAAGTGATCCTCCTGCCTCGGACTCCCAAACTGCTGGAATTACAGGCATGAGCCACTGAGCCCGATGTATTTTTTCTTATCTTTGTTTTAAATTGATATTTTAGAATAGTAGACTTTCACAGCAGAGCCTTCTACACTGATAATACGGCATACCATTTCTGAATGTAAATATTTAAAATAAGTCAGAACGAACATTAAGGCATACAAAGTTAATTTAAGTACTAACACTATTATTATTATTATTATTATTATTATTATTATTATTATTATTTGAGACAGAGTTTCGCTCTTGTTGCCCAGGCTAGAGTGCAATGGTGTGATCTCGGCTCACCTCAACCTCTGCCTCCCGGGTTCAAGCGATTCTCCTGCCTTAGCCTCCTGAGTAGCTGGGATTACAGGCACATGCCACCACGTCCAGCTAGTTTTGTATTTTTAGTAGAGATGGGGTTTCTCCATGTTCATCAGGCTGATCTCAAACTCCTGACCTCTGGTGATCCTCCCACCTCGGCCTCACAAAGTGCTGGGATTACAGGCATGAGTCACTGCGCCTGGCCTCTAACACTGTTTTCAACAAGATTATGTGTAAGCATGGTGGTGTGTGCCTGTAGTCACAGCTACTTGGGACACTGGGGTGCGAGGATTGCTTGAACTAGGAGGCAGAGGTTGCAGTGAACTGAGATTGCGCCCCTGCACTCCAGCTTGGGCGACAGGGTGACACTCACCTGGGTCTCAAAAAAAAAAAAGTTGTGTTTTTGAACCTATTGGTCTCTGATTTTTGTTAGTGGTCTTGATAGGTAAATAAGTCTCCAATCCTGGTATTGCACTGAATGATGACAAGCCCCAGGGTTTAATCTGGAAGGATCTTTCTATTGTGTTAAATTTCTAATCGCTTCTTTTCCCACTGGTTTGTCTCTTCTCTTGAAGTTTTAACCTAAATAAATGCTGTGGTAGCCTTTAAACAGGCTAACTCTCTATAGTGCTGAGATTTTGATCATGTTTTAAATAAGCACCTTCTCTCTCTTTAAAGATAGACTATACTGAAATATATAAGATATGCGCATTAAATCTGATAGCTCTCCACATGGACAAATATTCACTTTAGTTTTAATTTGCGATTGCAGGTAACATTCAGATATCCTGGATTGATGACACATCAGCATTTGTTTCCCTTAGCCAGCCCGAGCAAGTAAAGATTGGTAAGTGTTTTGGATTTCTGTTTTGTGTATTAAATACAGTGAGAGGTTGCCCTCCTGCTGCCCGCTTAATTTAAAAGCTGTGGGCTCAGTCAGCTTACACTCATTGCTGCCTGGTTTTTGAGATTGTCTCTGAAATAAATGAAATAATTAGTAAGTATCATGTATGGATGAGAAAATAAGACAAATCTTTTGATTCATTAGGTACACTACATAGTATATTTTTTTATTTACCTCCATTCTGTTCCTTTCTCGTTCTTGTTGCACTTTTTCTAAAGTGAGTTGCAGATTTACTTTGAGAATGAGAAGTACCTATAGTAAATTAATACTTACATTGACCTGTTCATCTCTGTACTTCCCTCATTTGTTTATACATATTTGAGATTTATTCACTCCATTAAACTCGTATCAAATACTTGTTTTTGTTGTTGTTGTTGTTGTTTGAGACAGAGTCTCGCTCTGTCGCCTAGGCTGGAGTGCAGTGGCGCAATCTTGGCTCACTGCAAACTCTGTTTCTTGGGTTCAAGAACTTCTCCTGCCTCAGCCTCCCGAGTAGCTGGGATTACAGGTGTGCAACATGACACCTGGCTAATTTTTGTATTTTTAGTAGAGACGGAGTTTCACAATGTTGGCCAGTTTGGTCTTGAACCCCTGACCTCAGATGATCCACCCACCTCAGCCTTTCACAGTGCGGGGATTACAGGCATGAGCCACTATGCCCAGCCTTGTTTTACAAACAAACAAACTGAATATTTTGTTTGCTTTTAAAATATGGTTCTAGGCTGGGCACGGTGGCTCTCGCTTGTAATCCCAGCACTTGGGGAGGCCGAGGCAGGCGGATCATCTGAGGTCAGGAGTTCGAGACCAGCCTGGCAAATAAGGTGAAACCCCATCTCTACTAAATATGCAAAAATTAGCTGGGCGTGGTGGCATGCACCTGTAATCCCAGCTACTTGGAAGGCTGAGGCAGGAGAATTGCTTGAACCTAGGAGTTGGAGGTTGCAGTGAGCCAACATCCATGCCCACTGCACTCTAGCCTGGGCGACAGAGTGAGGCCCTGTCTCAATAAAAACAAACAAACAAATAAATAAATAAAAGAGTTCTAAAAAGATGGGGCACCCTGTTTCTTGTAGGATCCTAAATAATTTTGATATTAACCATCAATTAAATGTTTTGTTTTCTTAAGATGGAAAGTTTTTGAATAAAATATTGATGAAAGTGTGTATTGTTGGCCGGGCGCGGTGGCTTATGCCTGTAATCCTAGCACTTTGGGAGGCCGAGGCGGGCGGATCACGAGGTCAGAAGATCAAGACCATCCTGGCTAACACGGTGAAACCTCGTCTCTACTAAAAAAAAAATACAAAAAAAAATTAGCCAGGTGTGGTGGCGGGCACCTGTAGACCCAGCTACTTGGGAGGCTGAGGTAGGAGAATGGTGTGAACCTGGGAAACGGAGCTTGCAGTGAGCTGAGATCGTGCCACTGCAGTCCAGCCTGGGCGACAGAGCGAGACTCTGTCTCAAAAAAAAGAAAATATGTATTGTTAAGCTACATATTCAAACAAATTTCAAGTACCATGCTGCTTTGATAATGTAAAAGATGTGAAAAATTTAAGTGATATGTTTGTTTTTTACTTTAACAAAATGCCGCACGGTAAAACTATATAATTCTGATAGAACTGTTGAGTAATTATATATGAAAATTTCTGCAGATACACAAATTCAGATCACAGTATTTTGGTATTTTTCTTTCACTATCTGACTATCGCAGGAATCCAGGCCGTGTTGTAGAGGGGAAAAACTTAGGCTTTTGGAATCATACTGCAACATCACTTACAGTTGTGTGACCTTGGGTGCCTTACTTAACGTTGATGAACTTCTGCTTATCTGTGTAAACTGAGCATAATAGTATGGACTTTAGTGTTATTGTGAGGATTCCATGAGATTAAGTAAATGAACCTTGGCATGGTTTTGAGCTTTTATTATGGCTTTTTAATAGCAGATTTCAGTGCGGAATGTACTTCAGGAGCATCAGACACCAGGGATAGTGGTGGATGCAGGGTGTGATGTGGCTTGTTAAATATTTTAATTTTTGCATAGAGATTTTTTCTGTGATCCATTTCCCCACCATCCTTAGAAAGATGGTTTAGAGAGAATCCAGAGGGATTGAATTATTAGAAAGCTCAAGATAACTTCAGGTGGGGGTGGGGACCTTGAGGTTACAGTTATAGTGAGGCTTCAACGTGGCTGCAAGAAGACTGAGTTCAAAGTCCTGACCTGCACTCTAATCCAGCCTCCTCTGCTCACTGTATACTCTTCAGCTCCTTAGCTGGCCACATTCAGTGACATTGAAGCTGTGCAGCGGGATAAACGGAGTTTCACAGACTGACACGGGGACTAACTTTGGCTCCACCACTTGTCAGCCACGTGTCTTTGGGCAGGTTATGTAAACCCTTAAAGCCGCAGGTTCCGTGTTTGTAAGAGGGAGATAATAGTTACTTTGCATGATTGTTGTGAGGATGAAATGAGATCATGGATATTAAGTTTCCAGCAAAGAGCCCCGTACTACACAATCAGTGCTTGACCAGTGGTAGGTAATTATTAAAATAGCTGCTTGGCCTCCCTTGCTGTGAACAGTGTGTAAGAGTGCTTTGAAGTCTGTAAAACCTGAGTTAGTAGCATTTATTTGAAAATTCAAGCATGATTCCTTTTTTATGTGTGTGGGATGTCAAAGTTTCCTTTCAAATTCCTGGTATACCATCATATCTGATGTCAAGTAACAGTTGCTCTCCTTTACTACTGGACGATTCTTAAAACAGTAGCTTTTAAGCTAAGTATTTTATTCCATGGTAACTCTAATCAGGGAGCTACATTTCAGAATCATATGTAGCCACAGAAGCGCTCTATTGTCTGATTGCTCATTGCGTTGGTTTCCTGAGGGCAATGTTGGGTCCCTCTTGTTCAGCCCTGAGTCCTCTCTCGTGCCTGACACACACTGCAGCATGAGGAAATAAATGTGTGTTTGAATAGGGGATATGGGGAATAGGCCAAGATGAAATTGTGATATTTTACCTTTTTTCCTCCTAGGTTAAGTAGATCCCTGTTCTCTTGATACATGCAGCTTTGCTAGTAAAGTCTAATTTTCTGCTATAGTCTCTTTTTATGCAAAAGGCAACTCTTAACAAAATGCTTGGCAGTTTGAGCATGTTGTGCCTCTGACAACATTTCCTTTGCCAGAAGAAGCCAATCTTTTCTGCAGTCATCACCTCCCACCAGAATCTGGCCCCTCCTCTTTTCTCCCCTCCCCTCTTCCTTTTTTCAGATGGGGTCTCTTCTTTTGCCCAGGCGAGAGTGGAGTGGCATGAACTCGGCTCACTGCAGCCTCCACCTCCTGGATTCAGGCAATTCTTGTGACTCAGCCTCCCAAATAGCTGGGATTACAAGCATGCACCACCACACTGGCAATTTGTATTTTTTGTAGAGATGGGGTTTTGCTATGTTGGCCAGGCTGGTCTCGAACTCCTGGCCTCAAGTGATCCGCCCATCTCAGCCTCCGAAAGCTCTGGGATTACAGGCATGAGCCACTGCACCCGGCCTCTTTGATGTTGTCTCTGGCTCTCTTTGTAGGGTACTGGACCTCATTCTCTGTGCTTTCATAGCATCTTGTATACCTTTTTGTATTGTTTTCACAGATAGACTGTAAACTCTTTGAGAGTAGGTACCATGTCTCAGTCACCATTGCGTTTTCAGTGCATAAAGTGGTAGTGTCTGACATTAGTAAGTAAATGTTGAATACTGAATTGCATAAATGATATTCATGGTATTGTGACTCGGAAATGCCTTTTTGCATGTGATGGATGTAACTAATGTCTCTGTTCTTTTGCTGTGATTTCTAAAATTATGCAGATGTTTCACTGAAAGACAATGTGAAATTTGTTCTTTATAATGGTGATTCTAATGATAAGAAGGACCCAGGGTATCTGATGTGCTGCAAATCCTGTTAATTTTGTTTTGTTTTGTTTTGTTTGAGACAAAGTCTCGCTCTGTCACCCAGGCTGGAGTGCAGTGGCGCGATCTCAGCTCACTGCAACCTCCGCCTCCCAGGTTCAAGCGATTCTCCTGCCTTAGCCTCCTGAGTAGCTGGGACTACAAGTGCCTGCCACCATGCCCAGCTAATTTTTGTTTTGTATTTTTAGTAGAAACGGGGTTTTACCGTGTTAGACAGGATGGTCTCGAACGCCTGACCTCGTGATCCGCCCTCCTCGGCCTCCCAAAGTGCTGGGATTACAGGCATGAGCCACTGTGCCTGGCCCCTATTAATGTTATCTTAGACAAATTACTTATTCATTTCAGCGGAAACAGAGGGCCTCTTAGATCAATAATGTAACATTGAGAAAATCATTAAATGCCTATTTATGTAGCAGCTTATAATGGCTTCTTTGGCTCTGTTGCAAACTATTTCTGATTTACATTTAAGGAGTTGCTTCTTAACTGACACCTTTTTTTTTTCTTTGAGTATTATTCTAATCAAGATTTTTAAAGCCATTTTTGACTTTGTTTGGGAGACTGGGTTTCACTCTGTTGCCCATGCTGGAGTGTGGTGGCATGATTATAATTCACTGCAGCCTTACTCGAACTCCTGGGCTCAAGCAGTCCTCTTGCCTCAGCCTCTTGAGTAGCCAGGACTATAGGTATGCACTCACCACACCCTGCTAATTTTTTCAAAATTTTCTTGTAGAGATTGGGCCTTCCCATTTTGCTCAGCTGATCTTGAACTCTTGGCCTCAAACCATCCTCTCCCCTTGGGCTCCCAAGGTGCTGGGATTACAAGTGTGAGCCACTGTGCCTGGCCATTTTTGACATTTTGAGTATGAAAGTTCTCTTTTATAGGAAACCTTTTTATACTAATTACTAAAACCCTTCTCTTGAGTGTCATTTGGTTTCTGTTGCTTTTCATTTGCTGCTGCTGGGAAGCGGGTCCCTGCTGGCTTTGGGGTGTTTGGATA